ATATGACCCTGTGATTGTGCAGTATAGTTTAAGAAATATTGTATATGATAGCAACTCATATCGTATTTTCACAAGTTCAAGGTCAAATTATCCACTCGTGGTTGTACAACATCTCTTACCTTCACAATATTATTGAAAAACATCACATGTCGCTAAATCCATCAAATTCTAGATCCATAAGTTTAATTGTAGTAAAAAAAGTTAGTAAGATTTTATAATAAGAGCGTAGCTCTCGGGCGCCAAAGGTGCCCGAGCGAAGCTCTTTAATGGTATATATATACATGCGTGTGTAAACAGAGTTGCTTCCCCTTTCTACACCTTGCCTTTAATTTTTTTGCATCCGGAAGTAGACGTCCAGTGGGGAAACCGGAAGTGTATCCTTGAAGCAAAGACAATTGTGTTTCAACCCATACATGAACATCTTCATATAGTGTAAACAATCTTCATGTTTTATTACTTCTTTATTTAGATAAAAACTAACATACATTCTGAGTGAAAAAAATCTATCACATAAATTTTGATACTAGCAGACATGAAACGACGTTCAGAGATTATCATGCTGTGAAGTCACAATCACGTCACACTCCATCGGCCTTCATCGGTTATTTCCAGAAGGATGAAAAATAACCGAAAAATCTTGGAACTGATGGCCGTTGCATTTATCTCTTTGTTGGTGCTTCATGACTTTTTAATTTCAGTTTTTGCCACAGGCACAAAAAATAAAAACGCAGATGCTTTCTGAAGATCTTATTTTGTCATCAACCAGGTCTGTTAATATTTCTACCGGGAGATATTTTCAAAAAGAGCCGAATTAAGCCAATAGGTCAACGTGTACATTTATTTTTCATCGTCTAAAATTTCATCTGCTTCTGATTTCCATTTGCTGAGAATATGAACGAAATAATAACATTTTTGAAAGTCTGGTTATAGTCTTTACATAATTTATGTATGCATCACCACTCATAAAAGAAACAATGGATAATTCATTTATGTTGAAATCAACAATAATTGTCCAGACAACGAACCCCAGTTCAAAGCCCTATTTCAGCAACGTAATACTTTTTCACAACGCATGCCGATTTATAACTAGTTAGAGACAGAAACTGTTTAATTGTATTTGGCATTATTACCTATCAAATCTCAGTGACAGTTAAAAAAACCCAAAACAATCAGGTGTTTTAGGATGGAACAGGAATTCTAAATATCCATATAAGACAATCTCAGTTACATCAAAGTATTACAATGTTTTCTTTTTTTTAGTTCATTTTTTAAACTAACATCTCTATACATTTACTTTTATAAACTTATCGTCAAATATGTAATATGCACTTTTTTCTATAGCAATTACCAACCAGTTTTTCCCACCTTATTTCAATCATTATTTTTGTGACCTGACGGAAGCAAGCAGAAGATTTTATTCTTAATGTGGGAGGAAGCTGGAGTATCCGGGGAAAAACCCTGTGGTCGGGCAGGTAACCCGGGGGGGGGGGGGGGGTACTTTTTGGAAGGGGTATAAAAAGTATCCGGATACTTTTTATTCTGCATAAAAAGTATCCGCATACTATTTAAGCAGGAGGTACATTTTATGCATGACACCGGTCATCTTGGTGAAGACGAGCGTGCTATCCACTGCTCCACCTGACCCATCATATACGTTACACACAAGAACAAATATCTACTTTAGCTTTGAAAATGGCGTCATTGATGCAAAAATTATGTTGTAAATACATTTTTACCAATCATCAACGATACAAAAAAAACTATATACGGGAAACCGGGGCAAGTTCGGCCACCCCTGATATTTTTGTTTTTGAGCTTATATTTACAACTTAAATATCTTAGCAGTTTAGTTGGCTGGGCATTCACACGAAAAAATGGCGAGGAAAACTCTTATGTAAAATTACTAAACAGGAGAAAATTACTTTTTAGAGGGTAGAAACAAAATCATGATCTCGCTTCTATAGTTATGCGAATTTTCTGTAAACGGAATTGCTATTTTTTTACGGTCAAACGTGTAACACACTGACAGCTTCAAATGATATAAATGTACATAAAAGCAAAGCCAAGCACTCACTACCATATTGCTGTACTGTAAGAATTTATTGAAATATCAATTTGGGCCCAGACAGCTTCGGCCAATGATACTGTGGCAAGTTCGGCCCATGTAACACATGAAAAGTAGTAAAATTGGCGATAAAATCTGACGTTGCAGGCTTTATAACGTCATAATTAAGCTGATTCCAATGGGGCCGAACTTACCCGAATGCCTGTCCGAACTTATCTCATTGTTTTCTTAAGGGACTTAGTGACAATAAGATTATTTTTTGTACCTCCTAAATCCTTCCAAGAACTCACTGCAGCATCAGCTACCTAGCACCATGCTAGCCTTAATTTACAACATGCAATGAAGCTCTGTTCACTTAAATAATAGATAACACACAAGACAATGGTATTGGCGTAATTGGCTTACCTTTATCAGGATGCCAGAATTTAATTTTTCATCTTTGATCTAAATTTCAATACATTTATTGTTTCATAAAATATTATTTTAGTGAAGGTGCGGCAAAAGATACCGCCATAAGACATCACCGATGACACCGCCACCCAAACTGCATGTTATCTCATTGTATTTTGCACAATTGTTATTTACAATAAATAAGGTCATAGCTGCCTTCTCTTTGTGATCCAGCTATCTTTAGCTTCTAGGTTCAGTCTAGCTGCGGGAACCGTAGATTCTATGTCCGATTTTTAAAAAAAATATTTTTTTATTGTTATCGGACCATAGATTATTGTTATCTATGGTCCAATAACAATAAAAATAAAAAAATAAAAAATTGGACATAGAAGCTACGGTTCCCGCAGCTAGGTTCAGTCCAGACAGTTAAAAATGTACATCAAAGAATGAAAAAGTGTTGTTCACTTATGATCTAACTGTTCTCATCACACTCATGTCTTTGGATATACTCTTTGACGTATATTCAATATGGTCTTTCCATAAGGGACAAACATTGATAAAAACACCAAATAGTTGAGCACAGTTGACTGTTTCAGTCCCAAGATCCCCTGCTTTTGAAATAAGCTGTCAACATTTTGCAAGTGGATCCTATCAACATACATTGGATTGTAGTTAATTAAGCAGAATTAATTGTCCTTTCCACCATTTAATTGGAGGTATTATATCTCCTGACATTGTCACTTCCAGACTGTTTTACCCCTCACCATTTATGACATATCATCTGCATACATCATAGCTGTAGAATGTTTTAACTCTAAATGTAGTACAGTGAACCTAACATCGAGCCTTGGGGTACACCAATATTGATTGGTTGAAAATCTTACTACAGGCTTTCTCTCCTTGAGTGCCTGGAGTTTATGCAACAGAACAATATGGAGATAAATGAAAATAATCCCTGTAACATATCCTTTCTCAATCTTTTTCAGTCATTTGTCTGCTACACTCACCAGAGCAGACTCTGTAGAATGGTTTGGTCAAAAACCAAATTGGCTGTCACTTTATTATTTGTTTAAAGTTTAAAAATCATGAACTGTATCATGCACATGTCTTTTAATGTTTTATGCAGACCTACCAGTATGGCATTATGACATTAGGAGGAGCTACAATAGTTTCTCATGCACATTTTAAAAGGTTACCCGATATGTTTGATTCTCTATGGAACCTCTTGTAATACTTGACTGTCTCAGTACTGAAGCTCATTAGAATCATATCCAATCCGGTGCCAATGTGACAGAAAATATTGTTGAAAATATTGAATACGTCAACTTTATCATTTATAAAAGTTCCCTCAACATTTAAATATACTGCAGTATGCAATATTTTTAATGGGCAGACATTCTTTAATTCATTCTAGACTTTCTTTGTGTTTCGAGAACTTTGATGTCTAAATAATCTTATTTGGCTTGTAAATTTAAAAGAAAAGATCTGGTTTTACGTGCCCTGAAGAGCACTTAGTAGGAGTCATACTGAGACTTTCTGGCTTCGTCGTGCAAATAATCCAGATTGTGTAATGAATTCAATATATCATCATTTATCCATTGTTCTGAATGTCAATGACACTAAGATAAAACGTCTTTTGAACTCAGCCCAAACATCTTCAGTGTTGCCATAATTATGGTTTCATAAAGCTCCAAGGAACCGGCTGCATATTGGCAGATAGGCTTTTTTAGGTTAATGATTTTTGAATTTGCAGTGTTTAATGGTCGCATTGGATTGGAGAAGACAACCTCTGACTTTACAGATTGCATACGTGTATGAGATGATAATCACTGATACCAAGGGAAATAACTTCAGACTCCAGACACTTTAATGAGTCAGTTAATTATATCTGGTCTGTATGAGTTCCCGAGCGAGTCCTCTTCTTCTTGTGTAGGAACAGTTATATGTTGTATAAGTCATAGAGTAAGTTTTTCCTAAGGGAAGATTCAAGGTCATATCTAGATATTGTCCCCGAACATAACATTGTTTTAGTTTTCTGTTGATAGTTTTTCAATTAATTAATCAAATTTATTGTACCAGTCCACCATTTGTTTCACAGTCTGTAGACAGCTAATACAGGTATTTTGTGATGACTGAGTATTTCTGTCATTTCTAAGGGATGAAGCCAGAAAATTGAGTTTGAACATATCATTTATTTACTTAAATAGAAGTCGGCAACCCTGAAATATTGTTAGTGTTCTAAAGTGCAATATGCCTACAGGGCTTTTCTGAATTACTGTATGATATATATACAATATTACACAGTGTAATGGAAGACTAAATACATCAACTCAGATACTTATAGTTTCCTTGAACTCTCTGACCAAAGGAAATAATTCTCACTGACAAAACATTCAATATATAATTGCCAAAGAAAATGTTCACAAATGTTCCCTATTTCTAATTGAAGTTAATTCTGACTGCATATATTTCCAGAAATGACTCACTCAAAGTGAATATCTGTTTGGAAGTTTGCAAGTAAGAATTACCGTTTTTTTACTTGTAGGAGATTCTCTTGTTTAACATGCGGGAAGAGCCTGTCCTGTTTGTAGATAATGGGATGGACATGATTCCCTTCTCTATCCGAGACCAAGACAACATTCACAACATCGTTAGCTTTGGACGAAGTCCCACAGAGGCAGACGAGGCAGAGGCGAGGATCAGAAAAGAGGTCAGTCAAACTTCTGCTAGCTTCTGTGTCAGGGGTTGAAATGAATTAAAATAAAATATACAGTGTGTGTGGCATCATCATACACAGAGGAAACTGGTGTGACATCACAATACATCGTGTTATGCTTGATGTAAAAAGATGAGATGTTACATAATTGAGGGTATAAATATATGACAGGAAAATGGATTTGATCTAGACAGAGTCATTGTAACATGTGGGCAGTCAGCCATCCAACTACTGACCATGCTTGATGTTGCTGAATCAGTGAGCGGGTCCCTAAGTTATACTGCATCACTTGAAAAACTAGCTTGCCAGTAAGACAGCATTTTCCCCACAAATTCATTAGATGTCAGGACCTAAGGAAACTACGTTGGTGAATCATGTCAATTGTTCAAACTTTTGCCAAACCCATCCAAACTGTTTAAACTGCTGCAGTAGAGATCTAGACTGTTTAAATTTTGATACAGAGATCTTAAATATCCCCATTGCTGCTGCAGAGATATTAACTGTCCAAATTTTGCTCTTAAATATATGTACCTGAGTACTGCTACAGAGATCTTAAATATCTGTACAAGTACTGCTACAGAGATCTTAAATATCTGTACAAGTACTGCTACAGAGATCTTAAATATCTGTACATGTACTGCTACAGAGATCTTAAATATCCCTAACACTGCTACAGAGATCTAAAATATCCATACCACTTCTACAGAGATCTTAAATATCCATACCACTGCTACAGAGATCTTAAATATCTGTACAAGTACTGCTACAGAGATCTTAAAAATCTGTACCACTGCTACAGAGATCTTAAATATTCTTACCACTGCTACAGAGATCTTAAATATCCATACCACTGCTACAGATATCTTAAATATCTGTACAATTACTGCTACAGAGATCTTAAATATCCATACCATTACTGCTACAGAGATCTTAAATATCCAAACCACTGCTACAGTGATCTTAAATATCGGTACCACTGCTACAGAGATCTTAAATATCCATACCAGTACTGCTACAGAGATCTTAAATATCCATACCAGTACTGCTACAGAGATCTTAAATATCCATACCACTGCTACAGAGATCTTAAATATCCATACCACTGCTACAGAGATCTTAAATATCCATACCACTGCTACAGAGATCTTAAATATCCATACCACTGCTACAGAGATCTTAAATATCCATACCACTGCTACAGAGATCTTAAATATCCATACCAGTACTGCTACAGAGATCTTAAATATCCATACCAGTACTGCTACAGAGATCTTAAATATCCATACCAGTACTGCTACAGAGATCTTAAATATCCATACCAGTACTGCTACAGAGATCTTAAATATCCATACCAGTACTGCTACAGAGATCTTAAATATCCATACCAGTACTGCTACAGAGATCTTAAATATCCATACCAGTACTGCTACAGAGACCTTAAATATCCATACCAGTACTGCTACAGAGATCTTAAATATCCATTCCAATACTGCTACAGAGATCAAAACTGAATAGATCTTAATTGCACATAGATACAAAATGTTCAAACCTTGCCACATGATATCTGGACTTTATTTGAACTTTCAGATTCAAGGAGAATTAGTTGAAAGGTGATTTGTACATAACAAGAATGCCGTCTGGTTAATACTGTAAGGTTTCCATATGCTGGATGGTGTTTTTGTGGATATGTGGCTGTGAGATATTGTAGAAGTGTTGATAGCATAATTTGTATATGACATCAAACCCATAGAAGATAATACCAATTATGTTTGTCGTCTTCCATTTTGTTTCAGTTGGGAGTCGTTAAATGGTAATTGTCTTTCAATTAACCTGGGGGAACTGATGTGTATTTGTACTGACTTGTCACTAGACTGTTGGGGACCTTTACTTACCGGCTCAATAATTACCCTACACAATGTATACTTGGTTGTTCATCAAGGGCAAGCTACCTTATAGAATCTACATTTGGGCATGGTTTATGAAAAGGTGCTGTCCATGTTGAAAAGTGTATGTAATCATAAAAAGTGTATGTAACTATAAAAAGTGTATGTAATGTGTATGTTACTATAAAAAGTGTATATAACTATAAAAAGTGTATGTAACTATAAAATGTATATGTAACTGCTAAATGTGTAACTACTAAATGTGTATGTAAGTATTAAGGTGTTTGTTTAAACTATGAAGGTGTATGTAACTTTAAAATGTACATGTAACTGCTAAATGTGTATGTAACTATAAAATGTGTATGTAACTGCTAAATGTGTATGTAACTGCCCACTATGGTTCAATTGTGAATGTGTATGTAACTATAAAATGTGTATGTTACAATAAAAGGTCAAGTGTACCTATAAAAAGTGTAACTATAAATTAATCTTTAACAAGTATTAGAACATTTTTCTTGAGATATATATGTATGTAGCAGAATATGATCAAATTAACATTGAGTATTCCTCAAATAATTAAAGGTAAAATAATCACCTTTCTAACACTACAGGTGATTGACTTGGCAACAATGAAGGAAGAAAATAAGTTCTACTTTTACAATGACCTCGAAAACCTGCAGAGGGAGCCACATGAGATGCACATTCAATATGAAGACAAACTGCTTGTATCTGAGGAAGTGTATGCCCGCCATATCTTATGTAGTCACTGTGTTAGGTACGTATACAGTTGTAGCTACATTTGCTCTGCATTGCCACTATATAACTGTTATAACACTACCAAGGCCAGTTCCCTGTTATGAGACCCTAACACAGGCGTAGTGGTATCTACACAGCCCCGACTACACCTTAACTACCAGGTCGCTATTCCCCTCCGCACTAGCAAGTAGATAAGCAAAAAAAAAACCCACTATGGTTCAATAATATAAACCGTTTTATGTAAGACTATTATGAAATGTGAATTGAATATTTTGCATGATTGATTAAATTATGGAAATAGTATTGATACTTTTGAGCTTTTTTCCACAAACTATATCTTTTTATGGGAAAAATCGAGAGACAACATTCCTTGAGCAATTCCATGGGCTACCTCTTGAACAAACACAATTAAAATTTAAAAGTTCGTTTTGAACTTAGAAATGAAAATATAAGCATAAGACAGCATTCTGTTCCGTGTTATGGTCCTAAAAAACGGAACAGAATTGTAGACAAAATGAATAACGCGTGATATGCTGTTTAATTCTTAAATATCTATGTACTACTGTACTTGGCTTTTGTTATCATTGTCATCACTTCAGATAATTTGTTAAATTATGTGTGTTTTATACTTGATTTGTTTTGTTTCCAGATACCAGCGCTTGTGTTTTCCCTTTTCTGGGGCACCTAGATACCAGGATGTTGATGCCTTTTTAAATATATTTAAGGTATAAAGACTGAATATCATATATTAAATCTGACTGTGTTGCCTGGTGGAAGGGTAGGAGACAAACAATGTTAAGCACTTCTGTCTGTCAGAACTGTACACTGAACACCTGTACTTATAAAACTGTACACACTTACACCTGTACACCTATATACCTTTACACTTATATACCTGTACACCTCTACATCTGTACATCTTTACACCCATACATTTATACACATAGACATCTATACACCTGTACACTTCTACACCTGTAACTGTATACATCTGTACATCTATACACCTGTACATCTATACACCTGTGTTCCTATACAACTGTACATAGATACACCTGTAAATGTATACACCTATGTACCTATACACCTGTACATCTATACACATATGTACCTATACACCTGTACATCTATACACATATGTACCTATACACCTGTACATCTATACACCTGTACATCTATACACCTATATACCTATACAACTGTACATCTATATACCTATGTACCTATACAACTGTACATCTATACACCTATGTACCTATACAACTGTACATCTATATACCTATGTACCTATACAACTGTACATCTATACACCTGTAAATTTATACACCTATGTACCTATACAACTGTACATCTGTACAACTGTACATCTATACACCTGTACATCGATACACCTGTACATCTATACACCTGTACATTGATACACCTGTACATCGATACACCTGTACATCGATACACCTGTACATCTATACATATATTCACCTGTACATCTATACACCTATGTTCCTATACAATTGTACATCTATACACCTGTAAATTTATACACCTATGTACATATGCAACTGTACATCTATACACCTGTACATTGATACACCTGTACATCGATACACCTGTACATCGATACGCCTGTACATCTATACATATATTCACCTGTACATCTATACACCTATGTTCCTATACAACTGTACATCTATACACCTGTAAATTTATACACCTATGTACATATGCAACTGTACATCTATACACCTGTACATCTATACACCTATGTACCTATACAACTGTACATTTATACACCTATGTACCTATACACCTGTACATCTACACACCTGTACATCTATACACCTGTACATATATACACCTATGTACATCTACACACCTATATACCTATACAACTGTACATCTATACACCTGTACATCTATACACCTATGTACCTATACAACTGTACATCTATACACCTGTGATCATATACAACTGTACATCTATTCACCTGTAAATATATACACCTGTGTTCCTATACAACTGTACATATATACACCTGTAAATGTAAACACCTATGTACCTATACACCTGTACATCTATTCACCTATGTACCTATATAACTGTACATCTATACACCTGTACATCTATACACCTGTACATCTACACACCTGTACATCTATACACCTGTACATATATACACCTATGTACATCTACACACCTATATACCTATACAACTGTACATCTATACACCTGTACATATATACACCTATATACCTATACAACTGTACATCTATACACCTGTACATCTATACACCTATGTACCTATACAACTGTACATCTACACACCTGTGATCATATACAACTGTACATCTATTCACCTGTACATATATACACCTGTGTTCCTATACAACTGTACATATATACACCTATGTACGTATACAACTGTACATCTATCCACCTGTACATATATACACCTATATACCTATACAACTGTACCTCTATACACCTGTGATCATCTACAACTGTACATCTATCCACCTGTACATCTATTCACCGTACATCTATACACCAGTGATCATATACAACTGTACATTTATACAACTATGTACCTATACAACACCTGTTAATGTATACACCTATGTACCGATGCAACTGTACATCTATACTCCTGTACATGTATACACCTGCAAATGTATACACCTATGTACATCTACACACCTATATACCTATACAACTGTCCATCTATTCACCTGTAAATATATACACCTGTGTTCATATACAACTGTACATCTATCCACCTGTGATCATATACAACTGTCCATCTATTCACCTGTACATATATTCACCTATATACCTATACAACTGTACGTACATCTATATACCTATGTACCTATACAGCTGTTCATCTATACACCTGTAAATCTATACACCTATGTACCTATACAACTGTACATCTATACACCTGTACATTTATACACCTATGTACCTATACAACTGTACATCTATACACCTGTAAATGTATACACCTATGTACCTATACACCTGTACATCTATGCACCTGTACACATATACATCTCTATACTATCGTATGCCAAGAAATTCTCCCCAGTACTAATTTTGTAATATGTAGACCTGGTACAACAGTTCTTGTTTGTCATGATAAATCACCTCATTGAAGAAAGAAAAAAAGATAGAATAAAACTGCAGTGTGTTCCTGGTGTTTATTAACACATCTAGTTACCAATACACCTGTGTCCACACTAAGTACATCTTTTCTCTGGTTGCAGCAGTCCAGAAAATATTTGGAGAAGTCGTCTTTCTATAAACCTGCCATGCTGTTTACCTGTCAGACAGGCATGGGGCGCTCCACCACTGCCATGGTAATGGGCTGCCTCATGACCGCCCACAAAACTGGATTCCCATCAGAGACTAGGTGTGTACATCTATTCCAACAGTGATTTTGTAACCTTAGTAAAATGCTAGTCGCTTCCTACCAGATTTGCTCGGGAGAATTACCCTTTACCTCATTGAGTAGATCTTACGACTAATAAACAAGAGATCCTGGGTTTGACCACTAGAAGAGGCATTAAAAAATAGTTACTTTTGTTACAATGACACCTATGTAGGGACCAAGGAAATATTGACCAATATACTTGGCGATACTTTCACAAAAATCACCGTGACCCCTGGAAATCTGAGGATTCCTTGAGGGGGAGTATGTCACCCTGGTAAATTACTAGCCATTTTCTACTGATTCAGCTTGGGAGAATTTCTCCCTGAATTATTTTGAACTAGACAATGCTCTACTAAATAACCAAAAGAGAAATTTTGCATAGCAAAGTTGGTGGGTAACAGATATTATTTTACCAGGGTGACCCTTTATTTTGAACTTTTTGGTCACCTAACATAAAGTGCCTGTAGATTTTGGTTTGGTGTGACATCCCTCGTCTATCTGTCCGTCATCAACCAACTCTATCTATGAATAGCTGCTTCTTCAGAACTAAAAGACCTAGGATCATGATATTTGGAGTGTGGGATAGAGTGCTATAAAGTTTCCTCAAAACATTGGAATTTGACTTAAGTTTCAAAATCAATTGGTTGTGTTTCTATTGTAGACCTCTGCCCCCCGAAATCTCTCAGTTTAGATAAACAATATGTAATATATTGTAGATTTTCTGCCTCACTGTTACAGTATCTACATGTGTTTGTATTATAGAGGGAAGCATTCCCAGAAGGCCTCTCTAGAAAGGGGAGATTACCGTGCTGTACAACGATTGGTCAAACTGCTGCCCAATGGTCAGACCATCAGAAATCAGGTGTGTTACATCATCTCATGAAAACATGCTCTCACTTCCTTAAAGTATAGAGAATATATTATTAGAGTGCTTCTATATGTAGTGATATAGGTAATATAGCCATGATATCTTCATATCCAATAGACTGTTTAAACACTACCCTGTTCTAGTGTGATATATTAAGCAATGCTATGTTTTCTACAGCTGTCTGAGTAAGTACACAGCACAGATCAATCTTATTTACAATAGGAATTCTATTGTTCTTCTGCAATTGAGTAATGGATCAGCCATGATACTCTGACGCCAGTGTAATGTGAGATAGATATATAGTCCCTATACCCTGTTATGTCATCACAGTGTAATGTGAGATAGATAGATATATAGTCCCTATACCCTGTAATGTCATCACAGTGTAATGTGAGATAGATATAAATATAGTCCCTATACCCTGTAATGTCATCACAGTGTAATGTGAGATAGATAGATATATAGTCCCTATACCCTGTAATGTCATCACAGTGTAATGTGAGATAGATAGATATATAGTCCCTATACCCTGTAATGTCATCACAGTGTAATGTGAGATAGATAGATATATAGTCCCTATACCCTGTAATGTCATCACAGTGTAATGTGAGATAGATAGATATATAGTCCCTATACCCTGTAATGTCATCACAGTGTAATGTGAGATAGATAGATATATAGTCCCTATACCCTGTAATGTCATCACAGTGTAATGTGAGATAGATAGATATATAGTCCCTATACCCTGTAATGTCATCACAGTGTAATGTGAGATAGATAGATATATAGTCCCTATACCCTGTAATGTCATCACAGTGTAATGTGAGATAGATAGATATATAGTCCCTATACCCTGTAATGTCATCACAGTGTAATGTGAGATAGATAGATATATAGTCCCTATACCCTGTAATGTCATCACAGTGTAATGTGAGATAGATAGATATATAGTCCCTATACCCTGTAATGTCATCACAGTGTAATGTGAGATAGATAGATATATAGTCCCTATACCCTGTAATGTCATCACAGTGTAATGTGAGATAGATAGATATATAGTCCCTATACCCTGTAATGTCATCACAGTGTAATGTGAGATAGATAGATATATAGTCCCTATACCCTGTAATGTCATCACAGTGTAATGTGAGATAGATAGATATATAGTCCCTATACCCTGTAATGTCATCACAGTGTAATGTGAGATAGATAGATATATAGTCCCTATACCCTGTAATGTCATCACAGTGTAATGTGAGATAGATAGATATATAGTCCCTATACCCTGTAATGTCATCACAGTGTAATGTGAGATAGATAGATATATAGTCCCTATACCCTGTAATGTCATCACAGTGTAATGTGAGATAGATAGATATATAGTCCCTATACCCTGTAATGTCATCACAGTGTAATGTGAGATAGATAGATATATAGTCCCTATACCCTGTAATGTCATCACAGTGTAATGTGAGATAGATAGATATATAGTCCCTATACCCTGTAATGTCATCACAGTGTAATGTGAGATAGATAGATATATAGTCCCTATACCCTGTAATGTCATCACAGTGTAATGTGAGATAGATAGATATATAGTCCCTATACCCTGTAATGTCATCACAGTGTAATGTGAGATAGATAGATATATAGTCCCTATACCCTGTAATGTCATCACAGTGTAATGTGAGATAGATAGATATATAGTCCCTATACCCTGTAATGTCATCACAGTGTAATGTGAGATAGATAGATATATAGTCCCTATACCCTGTAATGTCATCACAGTGTAATGTGAGATAGATAGATATATAGTCCCTATACCCTGTAATGTCATCACAGTGTAATGTGAGATAGATAGATATATAGTCCCTATACCCTGTAATGTCATCACAGTGTAATGTGAGATAGATAGATATATAGTCCCTATACCCTGTAATGTCATCACAGTGTAATGTGAGATAGATAGATATATAGTCCCTATACCCTGTAATGTCATCACAGTGTAATGTGAGATAGATAGATATATAGTCCCTATACCCTGTAATGTCATCACAGTGTAATGTGAGATAGATAGATATATAGTCCCTATACCCTGTAATGTCATCACAGTGTAATGTGAGATAGATAGAAATATAGTCCCTATACCCTGTAATGTCATCACAGTGTAATGTGAGATAGATAGATATATAGTCCCTATACCCTGTAATAATCACAGCGTAATGTGAGATAGATAGATATATAGTACCTATACCCAGTAATAATCACAGCGTAATATGAGATAGATAGATATATAGTCCCTATACCCTGTAATAATCACAGAGTAATGTGAGATAGATAGACATTTAGTCCCTATACCCTGTAATAATCACAGAGTAATGTGAGATAGATAGACATTTAGTCCCTATACCCTGTAATAGTCAGTGTAATGTGAGATAGATAGATATATAGTACCTATACCCAGTAATAATCAAAGCGTAATATGAGATAGATAGATATATAGTCACTATACCCTGTAATAATCACAGAGTAATGTGAGATAGATAGACATTTAGTCCCTATACCCTGTAATAGTCAGTGTAATGTGAGATAGATATATAGTCCCTATTCCCTGTAATAATCACAGCGTAATGCGAGATAGATAGATATATAGTACCTATACACAGTAATAATCACAGCGTAATATGAGATAGATAGATATATAGTACCTATACCCAGTAATAATCAAAGCGTAATATGAGATAGATAGATATATAGACCCTATACCCTGTAATAATCACGGTGTAATGTGAGATAGATATAAATATAGTGCCTATACCCAGTAATGACCTCACAGTGTAATGTGAGATAGAAATAAATATAGTCCCTATACCCAGTAATGTCATCAAAGTGTAATGTGAGATAGAAATAAATATAGTCCCTATACCCTGTAATTATCACAGTGTAATGTGAGATAGAAATAAATATAGTCCCTATACCCAGTAATGTCATCACAGTGTAATGTGAGTAGATAGACATATAGTCCCTATACCCTGTAATTATCACAGTGTAATGTGAGATAGAAATAAATATAGTCCCTATACCCAGTAATAATTACAGTGTAATGGGAGATAGATATAAATATAGTCACTATACCCTGTAATAATCACAGTGTGATGTGAGATAGATATAAATATACTCCCTATACCCTGTAATAATCACAGTGCAATGTGTAGATATAAATATAGTCCCTATGCCCTGTAATAATCACAGTGTAATATGAGATAGATAGACATATAGTCCCTATACACTGTAATAATCACAGTGTAATGTGTCGATAGACATATAGTCCCTATACCCTGTAATTATCACAGTGTAATGTGAGATAGATAGATATATAGTACCTATACACAGTAATAATCACAGCGTAATGTGTAGATAGACATATAGGTACCTATACCCAGTAATAATCACAGCGTAATGTGTAGATAGACATATAGTCCCTATACCCTGTAATGTCATCACAGGGTAATGTGAGATAGATATAAATATAGTGCCTATACCCAGTAATGACCTCACAGTGTAATGTGAGATAGAAATAAATATAGTCCCTATACCCAGTAATGTCATTACAGTGTAATGTGTAGATATAAATATAGTCCCTATGCCCTGTAATAATCACAGTTTAATGTGAGTTAGATAAAAATATAGTCTCTATACTCTGTAATGTCATCACAGTGTAACGTGAGATAGATATAAATATAGTGCCTATACCCAGTAATGTCATCAAAGTGTAATGTGAGATAGAAATAAATATAGTCCCTATACCCTGTAATTATCACAGTGTAATGTGAGATAGAAATAAATATAGTCCCTATACCCAGTAATAATTACAGTGTAATGTGAGATAGATCGATATATAGTCCCTATACCCAGTAATGTCATCAAAGTGTAATGTGAGATAGATAGACATTTAGTCCCTATACCCTGTAATAATCACAGTGTGATGTGAGATAGATATAAATATAGTGCCTATACCCAGTAATGTCATCAAAGTGTAATGTGAGATAGAAATAAATATAGTCCCTATACCCTGTAATTATCACAGTGTAATGTGAGATAGAAATAAATATAGTCCCTATACCCTGTAATGTCATCACAGAGTAATGTGAGATAGATAGACATTTAGTCCCTATACCCTGTAATAATCACGGTGTAATGTGAGATAGATATAAATATACTCCCTATACCCTGTAATAATCACAGAGTAATGTGAGATAGATAGACATTTAGTCCCTATACCCTGTAATAATCACAGAGTAATGTGAGATAGATAGACATTTAGTCCCTATACCCTGTAATAATCACAGAGTAATGTGAGATAGATAGACATATATTCCCTATACCCTGTAATAATCACAGTGCAATGTGTAGATATAAATATAGTCCCTATGCCCTGTAATAATCACAGTTTAATGTGAGATAGATATAAATATAGTGCCTATACCCAGTAATGACCTCACAGTGTAATGTGAGATAGATAGATATATAGTCACTATACCCTGTAATAATCACAGAGTAATGTGAGATAGATAGACATATATTCCCTATACCCTGTAATAATCACAGTGCAATGTGAGATAGATATAAATATAGTGCCTATACCCAGTAATGTCATCAAAGTGTAATGTGAGATAGATAGATATATAGTACCTATACACAGTAATAATCACAGCGTAATGTGTAGATAGACATATAGTCCCTATACCCTGTAATAATCACAGTGTAATGTGAGTTAGATAAAAATATAGTCTCTATACCCTGTAATGTCATCACAGTGTAATGTGAGATAGATATAAATATACTCCCTATACCCTGTAATAATCACAGTGTAATGTGAGATAGATATAAATATAGTCCCTATACCCTGTAATAATCACAGCGTAATGTGTAGATAGACATATAGTCCATATACCCTGTAATGTCATCACAGTGTAATGTGAGATAGATATAAATATAGTCCCTATACCCTGTAATAATCACAGTGTAATGTGTAGATAGATATAAATATAGTCCCTATAGCCTGTAATGTCATCACAGTGTAATGTGAGATAGATATAAATATACTCCCTATACCCTGTAATAATCACAGTGTAATGAGTAGATAGATATAAATATAGTCCCTCTAGCCTGTAATGTCATCACAGTGTAATGTGAAATAGATATAAATATAGTCCCTATGCCCTGTAATACTCACAGTGTAATGTGTAGATAGATATAAATGTAGTCCCTATAGCCTGTAATGTCATCACATTGTAATGTGAGATAGATATAAATATAATCCCTATACCCTGTAATAATCACAGGGTAATGTGTAGATAGATATAAATGTAGTCCCTATAGCCTGTAATGTCATCACAGTGTAATGTGTAGATAGATAGACATATAGTCCCTATACCCTGTAATAATCACAGTGTAATGTGTAAAAGACATATAGTCCCTATACCCTGTAATGTCATCACAGTGTAATGTGAGATAGATAAAAATATGGTCCCTATACCCTGTATTGTCATCACAGTGTAATGTTTAAAAGACATATAGTCCCTATACCCTGAAATAATCACAGTGTAATTTGTAGATAGACATATAGACCCCATACCCTGTAATGATCACAGTAGCGACCGATACTCGCTATACCGCCCTATACATCTACTCAGGTCCCATTGTTGTAATATTAACCAGTAGGTACCCTGTAATGATCACAGTGTAATGTGTAGATAGACATATAGTCCCCATACCCTGTAATGATCATAGTAGTGACAGATACTCCCTATACCGCCCTATACATCTTCTCAGGTCCCATTGTTGTAATATTTAACCAGTAGGTACCTGTGATGAAGTGCTATAAAGTTTCCTACTAAGTAATTCTAACCTACTTTCTATCTAGGTCACAGGTGTTTCTGATGACATTTCTGCTTACAGCACATGATGAGATGAAGATTATTGACTATCTACCCAACCTTATGCCTGATATTTTGTGTTCTAGGTTGACACAGTAGTCGATGCCTGTTCAGAACTGTATAATCTGCGTTCTGAGATCCTGAAGAGCAAACATACCCTTGACGATATCAAGACTGACTACGTACTTGATGTAAGTCCAACACAAAATGTTTGGTATAAGGTCCAATAGAGAAATACTGGTAAAGCCACAGGACTACCTTCAGTTTATTTATGTGCCTAGGTCCTGTAGATTTTTAGGTCACTTGACCATAGGTCATGGTGACCTATTGCCATCCGTCTTCGTCTGTCGTCGTGCGAGGTGCATTAACTTCTTTCTTGTGAGCACGATGAATAACTTGAGTAAAAGTGAAAATATTTCAATAAATTTTGTTATGCTGGTTTATATTAATAAGATCTCCAACGCGTTTGAAAGTGTTCCTGATCAGACAGTAACTTGCAGAGTTATGGGACTTTGAAATTTTAATAACTATTGAAGCCTATGGGACTTGAGCTTGTGAGCACAATAACTTGAGTAAATGTAAATGGATTTCGATGAAATTTGCTATGCTGTTTTAAATCAATTAGATCTTAGACAATTTTGCAAATGGGCCCATTCAGACAGTATCTGGCAGAGTTACTGCCAATCGGAGAATACAAGATGGCCGATCCTGGCCTCTGATGTGCTGAGACGAGAAATTTTCGACTTGTCAAGATTATCTGCAGTAATTTACTTTATTATTTGTACAAATGTTACTTTTGTGCCTATCAGAAAATCCATGCTCACCCTGACCTCTCATTGACTGAGATGTTTTTGACTTCTCAAGAAAGGCTACACTGATTGACTTCTAACTTAGAAGAAATGTTCCTTACAAGGTTTCGACCAAGTTTGTTCCTTTTCATGCTGATTGTAAAATTTCAAATGGCCACCTTGGCCTGTGATTGGCAAGGACATTTACAACTTAATCTGTACATAATCCATTAAATGTATCATCTAATTCATATATACAGCATGTGTATGTCTGGTCTCCAGGTTAGTATGGGTATATGTCTGGTCTCCAGGTTAGTTGGTCTCCAGGTTAGTATGGGTATATGCCTGGTATCCAGGTTAGTTGGTCTCCAGGTTAGTATGGGTATATGCCTGGTCTCCAGGTTAGTATGGATATATGCCTGGTCTCCAGGTTAGTATGGGTATCTGCATGGGTATATGCCTGGTCTCCAGGTTAGTTGGTCTCCAGGTTAGTATGGGTATATGCCTGGTCTCCAGGTTAGTATGGGTATATGCCTGGTCTCCAGGTTAGTATGGGT